GGACAATGCCCCCCTCACCGCCAATAAAGCTTAAAAGCAAACTTCAAAGGAGCCTGTTTCCAAGTATCTCAATATGTACCAAAATAAATCAAATACTAGATTAAAGAATAAAGCAAAATCTAGTAACTCAAAAATGCAAAATTTATCCTTCTAAGCATCCAATTAGAAATTACAGACATTCAAAAAAAGAAAAAAGGAAGAAAAAATGACTCATAATACAGGGGAAAGTCAGTCAATAGGAATAGATCTAGAAATGACAGAGAAGATGGAAGAAACAGAAAAGGAGGTTAAAAGAGCTATGACAAATATATTCTATATATTCGAAATGGTAGAATAAACATAAACCTAATAAGGGAAGATATGGAAGGTACAGATAGACTAAATGAATTTTTAGAGATGAAAAAAGATGTAACAGCACATTAGGTGCTGTAAAAGATCAATGAACCTGAAGACATAGAAATTACACAAAACACAATGAGAAAAAGATTTTTTAAAAAGTAGAGCATCAGTAACTTGTATGAAAATATCAAGTGGTAAAATGAACATGTAATTGGAGACTTATAGGGAAGGGAAACTAAAAAATGCATTTGAAGAAATAACAGTCAAAGGTTTTAATATTTTATTAAAACTGTAAACCCACAGATCCAAGAAACTCAATGAAGTCAAAGAGAATAGACCTTTAAAAAAATTCTCAGACATATCATAATCACATTGCTGAGAATCAGTGGTAAAGAGAAGACCTTACGGGGAGTGGAAAGGAAGGCACATTTATAATAGAGGAAGAGATAGAAAAACAACAGACTTTTTGTTGGAGACTATGTAAGGCAGAAGACTATGGAATGTCACCTTTAATAGAAGGAAAAGCATCACCAACCTAGAATTCTTTAATCAGTTATAACATTTTTCAAAACAGAAATTAAAATATCCTTTCAGCAAATAAAAGTGAGAGAATTAATTGCAAGAAGACTCCCACCATAAGAAATGTTAAAGGAAAGTAATACTTAAAAAAAAATGGTGGAATAAACAGCTCCAAGTTCTTGTTCCTCTGAAAAATACTGAAAAATCATCCAGAAGCTCTCTGAACCAGCTTCATAGGAGCTCTGGAAGACAAAGTTTTTGGCAACCAAGCAAATACCCAATGAGGAAAAAGCCATCTTCAAAATGGTAGGAAATTTCATGGCATTTTTACTCTTGCTCTACTCCCTCGTCAGATGGCAGTGCTCTTGGTCTTGAGCAGTGGCAGCCCAGTTCCATTACCTTCATTGAACTAGATAGAGAGTAGGAAAACCTTATGTGCAAATCATTGTGTATGTATGTTTTAACTTTGCTGGGTGGATATGTGAAAGACTGACCAGTTGATTTCTATCATAGGTAGGCAGGTAATTAGGTTCCTGTCGGCTGAGTTTGCCTCTATTTTAAGATACCCCCTCAGAAAATTCTTCCAACAACTTCCAGTTATATGTAGTTGGTCAGAAACTTGTCACATAGTTACTCTTATAGTTACAAGGGTAACTCTTCAATGGAGGCTGGAAAATGTACCTCTTTTTTTTTTATTTTTAAGGCAGGGAACATTTCTACCTAAGTGCTAAAAAAATTATGTTCTTGAAATAATATATATTGTGGGAAGGCAATTATTAGCCTCTGTCACAGAAAATAAGAGACTAGTTAGGAGACTATTTGGAAAGAGATGATAGTGGCTTGTGCTACAGTGAGTGGGGTAGTGGTAGTGGGGTTGTGGGTGAGATGTAATTAATATATTTTGAAGGCAGCAACCAGAAATCTTAATGCTGGATTAGATATGGTAACGAGAAGGAGAGAAATAGTGATACTTGGGTTACTAGCTAGTAGATGGTAGCACCAATAATTGAGATGAGAATAAAGAGAGAAAGGCCAAGGTTTTGTGGGGCTTTGGAAGGAAGGAGGGGAGAAGCATTAGTAATCCAGAATTTTCTTTTGTGATATGTTAAATTTGCGATGCCTATTATATAGTTAAGTGGAAATCAATACCTTTTAGAATTTCTCAAGATTCTATTTAGAATCTTTTCCAAGGGTCACCCTCTCCTCACATTCCTCAGAAATATCTCTATTTACTCTGCAGTTTTCTGTTTGCTTTTATTCATTCTTCATTTGCATGTATTGATTTCCTCATATATCTGGTATACTTTGTTGGCTTATTTTATATTTGCGAATGAAGAAATATGTCGATTGTATAGGTAAGCTCTGTGAGACAGGCAGGCTTCCCAGGAGTGTATATGGTGATGGAAGAGAGTAGGCAGGATGGCTGGGGACCCAACAACATTTCCAAAGAACCCATGTGTTTCTCTCCTGATGGAATTTTCTTTTTAAACCCCTGCTGTTATCTGATGTGGAAATGTCAGTGACAGCAAGCTCTATTCTGCTTCCCTATCAAGGCATAAAATTCACAGGATCTCCACCTGGACAGATGGCACATTTTCTTTGGAAAGCAATTTTTTGCTTTCCAAATGTATGTACTGAATAGTACATCATTAGTTTTTGATGTAGTGTTCAATGATTCATTAGTTATGTATAACACTGAGCACATTACATTAGTTATGTATAACACTCAGGACACATGACACGTGTCCTCCTTAATACCCATCACCCTGTTACTCCCTCCCCTCTAAAACCCTCAGTTTGTTTCCCAGTGTCCATAGTCTCTCATGGTTCGTTTCCCTCTCTGATTTCTGCCCCCTTCAGATTTCCATCCCTTTGCCTATGGTCCTCCATGCTATTGCTTATGTTCCACATATGAGTGAAACCATAAAATTGTCTTTATGGTTTATGAAACCATAAAATTGGCTTACTTCATTTAGCATAATCCCCTTGGGGTTTTGTTTTGTTTTGTTTTGTTTTTAAATCTTTTGTGTGTCTGATTGGGAAAGACAACGCTGCCAGCAGCATGTGCTCTGTGGGCTGAGAAAGAGAAGATTCAGCTGTTCTGAATGTAGCTCTCTAATTAATAACTATGATAACTGTACTATCATCTGATTCTCTTTGTATATGCTGTCCTTGAATTTTTTTGCTTCTCAGGCCCACCTGATTTCTGTAGTTCAAGGCTCTAATTTTCTTGATGCGAGTTTCCATTCAATCAGTCTCATCTGCTTTCAAATTTTCTGAATGTTCTCAACTTTCTAAATCCTGGTGTCTCACCTTATTGATTACCTGTATTTGCCATGGGACTTTTCTTTTTGAAATATTGTTTTCTGTTAATTTACTAGAACCTTGGGACGTGGGAAAGAAGAGAGCCCCATGTTTAGTCCGTCATCCTGAAGCTCCTATATTGGTTTGTTTTATTATTCTTTTCTAGCTTCATGAGAAGAATGCCTAAAGCATTTCTGCTCATATAAATGTACTAGAGTTTTTTATTCATAAAGTGTTCCATGTTCATTTAAATAATAATACAGAGTTAAACAATAAAAGTTAATAGTGTCCTGTTTCCTCTCCTCCAGAGATGTTAGCATTTTATGTCCTTTCACACATTCTTTCAAGCTTATCTTAGGGAAGAATTTTTTTCTTTTGTGTTTTTTACAAAAAAGAGTTCATGTGGGTTTTTTTGTTTTGGTTTTTTACTGTTCTTCTACTTCCCATATATATTTCATTTATTTTTAATTTTTATAACTCTATTCATTTAAAGTAATGACATTTCAAATGTTAGAGTTCAAATTGTTTTTTAGGGGAAATTTAAGCAAAGAAAAAACAAGCAAAAGAACTGATGTGGAAAAGTCTGAGATGTATTTCAAGAACTCAAAGTTAGACACAGTTGTCTGAAGGAGAGAAACTCTAATGGGGAAGACTGAGAAACTCATAGAAATAATTTAGTCAATGTGTTAGGGCAATGAATAGCAACAAAAATGGGAAGCTGCTGAAAATTTAAGAAAAGTCATGTTATTAACTGCTTAATATTAATGTACACTTAAAACCAAAAGTATTACTTATGGAAAGATCATTCATTGAACTGTTATTTTAATTAATTTGATATATAATGAACCTTCTGCTGTCTACAGGAGAGAGTATATTTGAAAGTAGTTTGTAGTACTATGTATGCTCAAAGAGATGGTGTCAAATTTGGTCTAGATGAGTGGGCAGTGTGCATGCACATTATGATGCTTCCAAAGCATCATTCTCAGTCACTGCAGTCTTGATTGTGTAGCAAAAGGAATATCAGATGAAAATTTGGGACACTTAGGATTTAGACTACTAATCATCTGGTTAACTTGGGACAACAAACTTGAACTTCAGATTCTTGTATGAAACAAGGAGTAGGGTTGGATTATCTCTGCAGCACCTTTCGTCTCCAAAAATTCAGTGGTTCTCTGACTCTATAATTGTTCCTATACACCTTAATCTAGCACCAAGTGTTTCCTTAGGCAGTGTTAAGTACACATTTAGCAATTACAGGTTAAGAAATTATTGAAAATGCTTTCTAGCCCAATACAATATCAAATGCCATTTTTTTTCCCCTAGGGGTGGGAGAGGGGCAGAGGGATAGGAAGAAAGAGTCCTAAGCAGGCTTCACACTCAGCACATGAACCCAATGCAGGACTTGATCTCACAACCCTGAGATCATGACCTGAGCCAAAAATCAAGAGTCAGATGCTTAACCAACTGAGCCACCCAGGGGCCCCTCAAATGTCATTTATTATCTAAAGCATTTTACAACCTTTTAAAATGAGCTTATATTAATTCTGACGATTCCGATTCTTCTTTACTTTTGTTTCTGCTTGAAGTTGCTGTGCACTGTTTTGATTTTATAAATTCAATAGTGTGAAAATTATAGTATCAAGGAAGCTAAGGTTATATGTGTAAATATATATGTATAGATGTCTTATAATTGGCCAAATAAATTATAGTAGCTATGAGAAAAATATTTAGGTTTTACGTTTTTTTATGTCTTTAATAACTGTTGAAAGAATACAGTTACCTTGGGAAATATCCTTGTATTACAAGCAGTCTAAAATTGAAACTTCTTTTTTTATAAGGTGATTTTTTCACCAAAGGAAAACGTTATACCATATTTCAGACCAGAATATATAGAATCCAAACCAAAATATCAGGTGAGTCCTGAATTATTCTATCCCAATAACAATTATATTTAAATACTAGGCTTCTCTAATACTTTATATATTTCAGTGGTTCCTAAACCAGACTACCCATTAGAAACATATGGCTGTCTTTGAAAAAATACATGTTCTCAGATTCTACCTCTGACCTGATGAATCTTGATCTGGAAATGGAGCCTGGAAATCTGTATTTCTCAGAAGAACCCAGGGGATTCTTATACTGTCATCTGGATATCAACTAAAACTTGAAAAACAGATGTAATAAAATGTATCTACTACAATGAAGTTTGAGCAACTAAGTTGAAATAAACTGAAATACCAGTTTCACATTTTCCCCCTTTCAGTTGATTAATGTAGAGGTTGTATGAACAAATATAAGAATATGTTTGAAACATTTGAATAACAGACTTCACCTCAAAGGCTATTTCAGTTATAGACTATCTTGATCCCAGAGCTACAAAACTGCCCATGGATATTACACTGAAATTTCACTATAATCCAGAACTTTTTTTTTTAATTTAAATTTTATTATTATTATTTTTTAAACATATATTTTTATCCCCAGGGGTACAGGTCTGTGAATCGCCAGGCTTACACATTTCACAGCACTCACCATAGCACATACCCTCCCCAATGTCCATAACCCCACCCCCCCTCTCCCAACCCCCCTCCCCCCATCAACCCTCAGTTTGTTTTGTGAGATTAAGAGTCACTTATGGTTTGTCTCCCTCCCAATCCCATCTTGTTTCATTTACTCCTCTCCTACCCCCTTAGCCCCCCATGTTGCATCTTCTCTCCCTCAAATCAGGGAGATCATATGATAGTCGTCTTTCTCTGATTGACTTATTTCGCTAAGCATGATACCCTCTAGTTCCAGCCATGTCGTTGCAAATGGCAAGATTTCATTTCTTTTGATGGCTGCATAGTATTCCATTGTGTATATATACCACATCTTCTTTATCCATTCATCTGTTGATGGACATCTAGGTTCTTTCCATAGTTTGGCTATTGTAGACATTGCTGCTATAAACATTCGGGTGCACGTGCCCCTTCGGATCACTACGTTTGTATCTTTAGGATAAATACCCAGTAGTGCAATTGCTGGGTCATAGGGTAGTTCTATTTTCAACATTTTGAGGAACCTCCATGCTGTTTTCCAGAGTGGTTGTACCAGCTTGCATTCCCACCAACAGTGTAGGAGGGTTCCCCTTTCTCCGCATCCTCGCCAGCATCTGTCATTTCCTGACTTATTCATTTTAGCCATTCTGACTGGTGTGAGGTGATACCTCATTGTGGTTTTGATTTGTATTTCCCTGATGCCGAGTGATATGGAGCACTTTTTCATGTGTCTTTTGGCCATCTGGATGTCTTCTTTGCAGAAATGTCTGTTCATGTCTTCTGCCCATTTCTTGATTGGATTATTTGTTCTTTGGGTGTTGAGTTTGCTAAGTTCTTTATAGGTTTTGGACACTAGCCCTTTATCTGATATGTCGTTTGCAAATATCTTCTCCCACTCTGTCAGTTGTCTTTTGGTTTTGTTAACTGTTTCCTTTGCTGTGCAAAAGCTTTTGATCTTTATAAAATCCCAATCGTTCATTTTTGCCCTTGCTTCCCTTGCCTTTGGCGATGTTCCTAGGAAGATGTTGCTGCAGCTGAGGTCGAAGAGGTTGCTACCTGTGTTCTCAATCCAGAACTTTTTTGTACTGCTCTCTCATAACCATTATAAGACATGTATGGTATTCATCAAAAAGTAAGATGCTACTGTGACATGCTAAGTAGTGGGTGGAACTTATTGTCATTGTTGAAATTCCAGACTTAAAAGCAGATGATACATGCTCCCAAGTTAGTCTTTAGAAACTATTTGTGATACTTCTAATGGGATATCTACTACTTACTTTGCATTTTAATTTTTTCATGTATTGTCACTAAAATGGTAAATATTTATAAGATAGGACTTAGATCCTGATGTTAGCCATTGTCTAAGTAAGTGTAGGCAACACTGGAAATCAAGTTCTTAAAAAAAAACAAAACACAACTATGTAGGAATGCTGTTTAAGTATTTTAAATATTCTAGGTTACGAAAAGCTCTTGGACACAAAATAGTATCAGAATTAAGAATTCTAAAATTTTGCATTAACATTTTCATCATTCCAATTTCAAGTATTTTAAAATAATTAAAGTCAATTTTCTCTTTGTAGAAGGTGGGTGAATGAATAGATAATTTGACAGATTGCTCAAAGAAAATTAACTAGAAAATTTATTATAAATTCAACTAAATACTACAGAATTTCTTACCTTTTGTTTTTAATATTACAGTTCCAGAAATTCAACCTTAAGAATGGTTTTGATCCTTTTCTAAGGAATATAAGCAACAAAACATCAGTCAGTAAAAGGAAAGACCAAGATATGTCCAAATATAGAAACACTTCAAGTGCAGAGATTATAGAGCATGAAGACCAAGATCCTCCTTACCCAACATACTCAAAAACTGCAACACCTACTAATAAAACCTGGCCCTGTGATCCTGGTATCACCACAGTAAAGACTTTAGACACCAAGACTAAGTTAAAGTCAGCCTGTGATCCTGATTTCATCACAGTAAAGACTTTAGACACTAAGAATAATTTAGCCCGTGATCCTAATATGACCACAATAAAGACGTTAGATACTAAGAATAAGTTAAAAGAAAGACTATCAAATGTATCTCTACCTAATTTTGAAGGAGAATCATCAGTGACTGGAAATGTGAATACATATCACCTCTCAAAATCATTAAGTCTTACTCCCCACCTAGAAAATTTAAAACAATCAATGGTGCTCAAGTCAATTTTAAGTAAAAATCTGCAAGACCTAGCAGATAAATTATTTTCTAAACCAGAGATTCCTATGGACACTGAAGCAAGAAAGAAAAGTCCTAGTTCTCCACTTCTGAGTATTCATGATGGATCACAAAGTAGTTTGGAAAGTAAAGTATTTGAAAAAGTCCAAGACTCAAATATCTGTCTTCCAGAAAAAGACATGGTACATTCAAAGTCTCTTTTAAGACAAGTAACTAAAGATATTCTTGCAGATTTACTTGAAAGTGGACCATCACTTGAAGATGGACCAAGAAATTCTCCAGAGGTAGAAAGAGCACTTGTTTCACCTCCAGGTGATAAACACCTGGAGGCTGATGAGATCAATTTTCCACTTACAAAAAATAATCTCCAGAAGCATTCAAAAATTGAAGTGTCTAGATCCAAACCAGGTGTAAGTGACATTGCACATGATTATGTTATAAAGCAAATATTCACAGCACCTATCTTCTCAGAGTTGGAAGTAGGAGAGAAAGAATCGAGCGAGACACCAGTAAATTTGCAGAATCAATTACCCACAGCTTGGGAGAGTTTATCTTCAAATATTCTACTTCATTATGAAGAAAACGATGATGAAATAGAATTGCCACAGGCCAAATCTGTCATAAGCCAGATAATACAAGCATTTCCTGTAGATACTCTTTTAGAATCTGGGATAATCAAAGTGATAGAGTTAGATAAAGAATATCAGAAGGGTTCTGTGCAGGATACAGAGACAGTCTTTGCTGAAGAAGAGCCGAAGTATTCCACAGAGGATTATTCAGAAACCCAAAGAGGAACAGAATCTCTTTTAGAGAAGAATACACTCCTCATTCCCAAAGAAACCACTTCTTTTAATAGCAATGAATATATGGATGAAGGTCAAAATATATCCTTACAAGATTCAAAATATCAGTCAACACCAGATAAAAAAACAGATATGCTAAATAATAGTCAGAGGTTGAATAGAGAAGAAAATGATCTAAATTCTGCTTTAGAAAATTTAAGTAACTCATTAATGGGTAAACTTAATGACACAGATGCAATAATGTTAAAATCCTTTTTAAAACATATGTTTAATATTTTTTTCAAATATAATCAGTCTGAAAGAAGACAACCAGGGAAAGAATTAGAAAGACTAATTCAGCATCCTTTTCCAAATAACACAGAAGACCTAGAAGAAATTAGAGAGAATTTTGATAAAACAGATAAATTAGACAGAAAACCTATGTTGAGTCCAAAGCTGTGTGTATTTCTAGAAGAACTCTCGGAGTTAGAAATTAAAAATTTAAAATCTGAACTAAGTAAACATATCCAACATTACCTTGTAGAAAGACTTTCAGAATCTGGACACATCACCAAAGAAGACTTACCAAAAATCTACCAAAATCTGTATTTGATGAATGAGAAAGTGGAACCAAAAGGGCAAAATATTTTTCTGGAAAAATATTCAGAAACTGTAAAAGAAATCATGTCTTTTGTAAATAATTTTAATCATCATTTCATAGATAAACATTTGGAAATAAAGCTAAGATCTTTCTTAAATGAAATTCTCCAAAACTATTTCCTAAAAAACCTTTCAGAAAGCAGTTTATTTAGAGAGACAGAATCTGAGACTATCAACTCAAACATGTCTTCTCTAAGAACTAAAAGTGCCTCCATATCATTTCATGAGTTAGGACAAGATATTTCAAGGGGGAGTTTTGGGAAGAGACTTGAATTAAACATGAAATACCCCTTAAATAAATCTCTACAAAACTATCTTACAGGTTTATCAGAAAATGAACTATTAAATCTAAAAGCTGATTTAAGCAAACACTTCCAGAGCCTTTTAATAGAAAGACTTTCAAAATCAGGACTAATCACAGAAAGGCAATTAGAGGGGCTCAACCAGTGTATAAATTTGATCAATTCTAGTTCCATACCATTAAAATGTATAAAGCCAGATTTATCTTCTAGAAATGAAAACCAATTTATGGAGGAGAATTCAGAAAAGCAAAATAAATATTCAAAAATTGTTCAAAAAACTACTCTACAAAAAGATCCTGAGGGGAGACTTGTAGAAACAGAACTAACCAAAAAGGAAGAAAAGGAATATTTTTCCTTACAGAATATTAAGGAAAATCCATCAATAATTGGGGAACAGAAAAGACACTATCCTAAAGAAGGAGCCAAACCCCTGAGATTAATTAAAGTACAACCTTCTTTCATCAGAAATACCCAAGCGATTCCATTAAATAAGTCATCAGAAAGACTTACAGATATAGTGCTTAAGAAACAAAGGAAAGAACATGGTTTCATGCAGCTTTCTCGAGCAGAAAATTATTTTAAAACAGAAATTCAAGACTCACATGGTTGGAGTGGTAAATCAAAAGCAACTCAGTCAAATATTTGCCTTGAAAGGACACTAAAAATGAAGTCCCTTGAAAAAAGGGAGCATAATCTCTATAAACTGATGGCACAGGAAAAACCGGAAGCAGTACTGTCTCCATATCCAAGAATTCCTAATTACGAAATGTCAAGTGAAAATGAAGAATATATATACAAATACAATTTTCCTTCCAGGCAGAATAACATTTTAAGTTATTTCAGTTTAGAGGTTGGGGAGAAATCAAAGCTAGAAGACCAGTATATTCAGAGGTTGAAAGGAAATAATAATAATAATAAAAAACATCTAGTAACATTGGCACAATACAGAAAAATACATACTCTTTCTGTACGGACAAATGGAATTTGTAATGAAAAGCATGCCAGGTTCCCTGAATCACAGTCGTTTAAATACAAAGGTGTGGAAGCTGAGAAAAACTCAAAACCATCCCTCTTCCCAGAAGTATTAAAGAGAGAAAATCTAAAGCCCAAGGTCCGAAAAGAAAGAGACCATGGCAACAAACAGAAGAAGTCCTTCAGCAAGATGGTTAAGATACTACCAGCCTCACTGCCCTCCGCGAAAATTCTAAGGAAATCTGTTCCAAGGACATTGCTTCACTGGACCGCGAGAACAACTATACATGTAATACTGTCTTTCTAAATCTTCTCCTTTTGCATTTGGCAAAGTTTGTCAATCATCTACTTTAGGGTGTGTATGTCTGTATGCAAGTATGTGTGTAACCTTTGTTGTCCCAAGATACACAGACTGTCAAACTTACAAGAATTCTTTTGACATTCAAATTCACCTCACCCAGATCGAAATGAAGTCACAAAAGCAAGGGACTGCCTTTGTATGAAACAGATGAAGGGCACTCCTTCTGGAGCATGAATCAGAAAAAGCCACCCTTTCCTCCGGCAGACTCTGTAGAGGGCCACAGCCTAGAGCCAGAGCCCTGAGCCCTGTATATGGAGAACTGGCTGAGTCTCCGCTCTGACTCAGCCCTAAGCCCGGGGACTGCTGGGCCAGCACAACCTATACAGCTCTTGGCAGGGGCTCTGTCCCATGGAAACATAGCTGGGATTTGTTTTCGTGCAGATATAAGTATAAATAGTATTCTTCAGATTGCTAAATTATCTTCGTTTCAGTAAACAAAGATATTATGTGCCGGTTATCCTGATGAGTATTATGGATATGCAAAATTTATAATCTATTGGATTATGAATGGAAAAAAAATTTTTTCAAAGATTTTATTTATTTATTTGATAGAGATCACAAGTAGGCAGAGAGGCAGGCAGAGAGAGAGGAAGGGAAGCAGGCTCCCTGCCAAGCAGAGAGCCTGATGCAGGGCTCGATCGCAGGACCCTGGAATCATGACCTGAGCTAAAGGCAGAGGCTTTAACCCACTGAGCCACCCAGGCGCCCCATGAATGGAAAAATTTTAACTTCTCAGCTCTCTTCTATTCCCGTTGCCCCTCTGCTCTATCATGGGCTGAGGAACTTGGGAATTTGAACCTATTAACAGAAAACAATTAGGAAGGTAAACCTGCTACCAGACATTATACAAACCATTCTGAGGTTAAAAACTAGGAATGGAAGGGACTTATTTTACTTTTCTGGACTGCTGCTCTTCTCTGTTTGTGTATATAAATAGGCATGCCCTACACCTGGGAGAACTCATAAATCCCAAAATGATATTACATTGATAATTTGATGTGCATAATCCTTTGAATGAGAAAAATAGTTCCAATTTAGAACAGTTGCTTTGAATTAGCTTTCTGTAGTAAAGCAAATATTTAGCTTTAGTAAATAGTAAAATTAGTAGCTGGAAAAATATTATCAATTTAGCTTATGCTTTCAACTTTGGATTTCTCTTTTCTATTTAAATTTGGTAATTTAATATTGAGTGGTATGTGTGTGTGTTGTACACATAAATGTGTGTATCCGCTAGGAAAAAGAGGTAGAAGATGGGTTCATAGTTCTGGGAACCGACTTTCTAAAGTTCCTTTAGACAAATTGAATCTTTAATGTCAGTTTTCCAAACAAAACAATAAATTGTGTTTATATTGTATAATAGGAGATCATATAGGATCTCAGAAACTTTATCTGTCCTAAGAGTAGGCAGAAGAGATAGAGTTATCCTTATTTTCCTCTGTTAAAAGAACAGTCCCTAAACTTTTCTCCCCAGTGAAGTTGACAAAAGAGAATTGAATGGTAGGAGGGCATTTTTCAGATCCTCAGAAAGACTGGCTCATCTGATTCTTTTCTAAAATCCAGGAATCTCCTAAAGGAATCAAAGTAGAACACAGAGAAACTGAACTGTAGGAGCATCCAGAAAAGTAACCGTTTGTGGTGTCTCCATGCCTCTATTGGTACTCTAGTAATCAGTTATTTCATCTGTGAAGCAAGAATTAAGTATTACTCACCAAAGTAGCAGAAATTCCCTTAATAATGTGGCTTACCTAATTGTTCCATGTACCTAAAAAGGGAGAGGGAGAATGTTTCCTTGCATTTTTGCAACCCAGGCAAAAATGTAAAGTAGGTACAACTTATCTCTAGACTCTTATACCTCATTTTTATAAATCTTTCTTTTTTTTTAAGATTTTATTTATTTGTCTGACAGAAATCACAAGTAGGCAGAGAGAAAGAGGGAGAGGCAGGCTCCCCTCTGTGCAGAGAGCCCAATGTGGGGCTCGATCCCAGGACCCTGGGACAATGACCTGAGCCGAAGGCAGAGGCTTTAACCCACCGAGCCACCCAGGCACCCCTATTTTTGTAAATCTTTCTTGCTGCCCTAATTCTCAGCCCTGTACAACCTCCCCCCACCCTCCAATTCTATTAATTCATTCCCACCTTCTCTCTAAATCAGAGTAGCTTTTCCATTTGGTGTGGTCATCTCAGCAAAGTGTTAAGGGACAAGATGCTCATACTGCAGAATAAACTAGTTTAAACTAGTTTAAGAATGACTAATAACTCCATACCCTCGTTAGGGTAATTGTAGGTTATTATAGGTTTATTCTAAAACAGAGCCATATTATATAAATTTGAAAAAAGAAAAGGAAAACAAAGCCCATAATCCCACCACCCTAACCCAACCATCTTCTTTAAAAATTTACTTTGTGTACATCCTTCCAGTTATTTTCCTAAATGTTTTACTGCTTTACTCTCAGATTGTACATAACAATTTTTATTACTTTAATATGAACAGTATATAACTCTATCCTTAGATGCCAGGCTCTCTATGAGCATGTGAAAGTGTATTAAAGAAGATGTTTATTAACTTTAAAAGAATGAAACTTTGGATGATATGAAGTATGATTCATGATTTATATTTAGGGTTGCAGAAAATATAATTTGGAGAATTCTAGAATAGGCAGACTGCCTTTAGGTGTCTGACTCTTAAGGACCCCTCTCCTAAGTTTTTCTGGTTTCCAGCTTCATATCTTCTATCCCTTGTAAAATAACAGATCCATTGAAACAATACGACTTTTTTTTTTTTAAAGCATGATTTCTTTGATAGTATCTAATAGGGAGCATTGGGTGTTGGATCTGAATTTGGGGACTGCCTATAAAATATTTAATGCTTTCATTCTTTGTCTTTAACTATTGATATTCTACACTTGAGTTCTTGTAAATTTAAAATGTACTTTTAAGAAAACTAACTCACCAACCTGATCTTTTATTTTACTATTTAGGATTGTTCGGATAGATTTGAGGATATACCCGTGACCTCATTTAAGCATGTTGAGCAAGCAAAATCAAGAACAAGGCTTTTAGGAAAAAGCCCGGATGATAACCATAATCAGTTAAAACACTTTGCAAGACCGAATACTGCTCCAGAGGTTCACAAACGGCGAGAGAGCTACAACGGAAAATTAACAAGTCCTCGAATGATTTCAGCAGGCTTAGTTCACATAAATGATGCAATCCCAGATTATGAAATCCAGAAAATGAGGCAAAAAAAGAAATTAAAAGAGAATATTGAAAAGTGTTCGTTCATTTGTGATATTATACAAATGTTAAAAGTTCAGAATAATATGTAAGGCCAACAGTCAATTTCTCCAATGAACAAAATGGTTTGGAGATCTGTCCTTCTGTGTGATAGATGTCAACAACCAAATTTCACCTTGTTAGAACCATTTTGTTTTAATTAAAATGAAAAAGAAGCACTTTTGATGTAAATGTGTTTTTGTTTATGAACTTTAGGGAACAGAGCAAGAAATATATATTCAGTTCATATCAAGTTTTATTTCCCAGCTTTTTCCCCTTTTCACTATATAGCAGTATCACTCCAGTTGATAGTTCTCTGATTTCCCAAATCTTTGTTATTCTCTTAATTATTCCTGTCCACCCAGTTCTCAGAGTCTTTATTTGCCATTATTTATGTTTAGCCATTTGTTATGAATATACTCTTATTCTTCAGTTCTAATTATACTATAAGACGCAAAAGTATGTCATTTTCTGGGCTTAGAGAACATCTCTTAATTTTAGTTTCTGATGGTACAACTTTTACACTATAAATAAAGCTAATCAGATTTTATAGTAATTCCTGAGACGACTCCTATACTGAACACTTTGAACTTAAAACACTATGAAAGGGCCTCTTTAATAGCACAAAACATAGGAAACTACATAAAATGGTAGAAACTACATAAAAATTAGCAAAATCAACAGAGGATTTAAATCAGAGACCTCCTGGGACACCTGGGTGGCTCATTCCGTTGAGTGACCCAACTCTCGATTTCGGCTCTGATCGTAAGGTGAGGACTGTGAGATTAAGCCCTGCATTGGGATCTGCGCTGGGAGAATCTGTCTCCCTCTGCTGCTCCTGCCCACCCCACTATCCCTATCTTAAAAAAAAAAAAAAAATCAGAGACTTAATTGGTTCTACTCTTTTTTTTTTTAATTCAACTGTAATTAACATAGTGTTATATTAGTTTCAGGTGTATAATATAGTGACTCAACAATTGTATGCGTTACTCAGTGCCCATCAAGGTAAGTGTACTCTTAATCCCCTTCACCTATTTCACCCATCCCCTGACCCACCTCCCCTCTGGTAACATTTGTTCTCTATATTTATGAGTCTCTTATTTTTTTTGTCTCTCTTTTGTTGTTTATTTCTTTTGTTTCTTAAATTCTACGTGAGTAAAATCATACGTCATTTGTCTTTCTCTGACTGACTTCTTTCCCTTAGCATTATACCCTCTAGATCCATTCATGTTGTTGCAAATGGCAAGATTTCACTCTTTTTTATGGTTGAATAATATTCCTCTATGTGCGTATGTGTGTATCTTCTCTATCCACTCATCTATTGATGCACACTTGAGTTACTGTCATATCTTGACTATTGCAAATGATGCTGCAATAAACATAAGGATGCATATATCTTTTCAAATTAGTGTTTTTGTATTCTTTGGGTAAATATCCAATAATAGAATTACTGGATCACATGATAATATTTTCAATTTTTGAAAAACCTCCAAACTGTTTTCCACAGTGGCTGCACTGGTTTGCATTCCCCACAGTGCACGAAGGTTCCTTTTTCTCTACATCCTCACTAACACTTGTTATTTCTTGTGTTTTTTATTTTAGTCATTCTGACAGGTGTAAGGTGATTTCTCATTGTGATTTTGATTTGTACTTCCCTAATGATGGGTGATGTTGAGCAACTTTTCATGTGTCTATCTTCTTTGGAGAAATGTCTATTCATCTCCTCTGTCCATTTTTAAATTGGATTATTTATTTCTTTGGGGGCTGAGTTTTATAAATTCTTTATATATATTTTGGATATTGTTTTATTACATATATCGTTTGTAAATACCTTCTCGCTTCAGTTGGTTTTTGTTTTGCTGACAGTTTCCTTTGCTATGCAAAAACTTGTTATTTTGGTGTAGTCCCAATATTTTAATTTTGTTTATTTCCCTAGCCATTGGAAACATACTAGAAAAATATTTCTACAGCTGGTGTCAAAGAAATTACTGCCTATGTTTTCTTCCAGGAATTTGGTTTCTTACAGGTCTTACAGTTAGATACTTAATCCATTTTGGGTTTTTTGGTACTATGTAAGAAAATAGTCCAATTTCACTCTTTTGCATGTAGCTTTCCAGTTTTCCCAACCCCATTTATTGAGGAAACTGTTATTTTTCTCATTGGATATTCTTGCCTCCTTTGTTGTAGATTAATTGACCTTAAAAGTATGGGTTTATTTCTGGGTCCTCTATTCTGTTCCATTGATCCTTTTTTTTTCCTTTCAAAATTTTACTTAAATTCAAGTTCATTCACATATAGTGTAGTATTTGTTTCAGGAATAGAATTTAGTGATTCATCAGTTGCATATAACACCCAGTGCTCATTACACCAACTGCCCTCCTTGATGCCCTTCAACCAATTTCCCCGTTCTCTCACCCCTATATTTAAGAGTCTCTTATGGTTTGCCTCCTTCTCTGTTTTTAATCTTTTTTTTTAATCATTTTTTAAATTTATTTTCAGCATAACAGTATTCATTGTTTTTGTACCACACCCAGTGCTCCATGCAATCTGTGCCCTCTCTAATACCCACCATCTGGTTCCCCCAACCTCCCACCCCCCCACCTCATCAAACCCTTCAGATTGTTTTTCAGAGTCCATAGTCTTATTTTTTCTTCCCTTCCCCTGTGTTCATCAGTTTTGTTTCTTAAATTCCACATACGAGTGAAATCATATGGTATTTGTTTGCTGACTCATTTCGTTTAGCATAATACACTCTAGTTCTTTCCACATCATTGCAAATGGCAAGATTTCATTCTTTTTGATGACTAAGTAATATTCCATCACATGTGTGTGTATACACACACACACACACACACACACACACACACACCACTTCTTTATCCATTCATCAGTTGATAGACATTTGTTCTCCTTCCATGTTTTGGCTGCTCCACTGATTTATGTGTCTGTTTTTGTGCCAGCACCATACCATTTTGATTACTACAGTTTTGTAGTATACCTTGAAACCTGGGATTGTGATTCTTCCAGGTTTGTTTTTATTTTTTAAGATTGGTTAGCTATTCAAGGTCTTCTGTGGTTCCATATAAATTTTTGGATTATTTGTTCTAGTTTTGTGAAAAATGCTGTTGGTATTTTGATAGGGATTGCCTTACGTTTGTAGATTGCATTGGGTAGTATGAACATTTTAACAATATTGGTTCTTCCAGTCCATGAGCAAGGAATATCTTTCCATTTATTTGTGTTATTTTCAGTTTCTTTCATTGATGTTTTACAGTTTTCAGAGTAGAGACCTTTCACCTCCTGGGTTAAGTATATTTCTACGTGTATTTGGTTCTTTTTGGTACAATTGTAAGTGGAATTGTTTTCTTAGTTTCTCTTTCTGCTACTTCTTTATTAGTGCATGGAAATGCAACTGATTTCTGATATGTATTTTTATCCTGTGACCTTACTCAATTCATTTGTCAGTTCTAGTAGTTTTTTGGTTTAGGGTTTTCTTTTTTTCTCTTATTTATTTTTCAATAATTTTTAAAAATTTTTTTATAAACATATAATGTATTATTAGCCCCAGGGTTACAGGTCTAGGAATCACCAGATTTACACACTTCACAGCACTTACCATAGCACATATAGGGTTTTCTACATATAATACCATGTCATCTGAAAATAGTGAAAGTTTGACTTCTTTACCAATTTGGGTGCCTTTTATTTCTTTTTGTTGTCTGATTGCTGTGGCTAGGATTTCCAGTACCATGTTGAATAAAAGTAGTGAGGATGGACATCCTTGTTTAGTTCCTGACATTAGAGGGAAAACTTAGAATTGAGTGTGATATTAGCTGTGGGTTTTTCATATATGGCCTTTATTATGTTGAAATATGTTTCTCTGAGATTAATTTGTTGACAATTTTTATCATGAATGGATATTGTACTTTGTCAAATGCTTTTTTGCATGTATTGAAGTGATCATATGGTTTTTATCCTTTTTCTTGTTAATGTGATGTGTTGATTTGCAAATATTGAACCACCCTTGCATCCCAGGAATAAATCCCACTTGATTGTGACAAATGATTTTTTAAAGTATATTGTTGGATTCCATTTGTTAATATTTTATTGAGAATTTTTAGGTCTATATTCATCAGAGAAATTGGGTTTGGGGTTTTTTTTCACACTGTCTTTATCTGGTTTTGATATCAGGGTAATTCTGACCTCATAGAACAAATTTGGAAGCTTTCCTTGCTCTTTTTTTTTTTAATAGAGAATAATAGGTATTAACTCTTCTTTAAATGTTTGGTAGACTTCCCCTGTGAAGCCATCTGGTCCTGGTCTTCTGTTTCTTGAGAGTTTTTTTGATTAATGATTCAATTTCTTTGCTAGTAACTGCAGTGTTCAAATTTTCTTTTTTTTCCCAATATAGTTTTGGAAATTTTTATGGTTCTAGGACTTTATTTATTTCTTCTAGGTTGTCTAATTTGTTGGCATATAATTTTTCATAATATTTTCATATAATCCTTTGTATTTCTGTGTGGTTGGTTGTTATTTCTCCTCTATCATTTCTGATTTTGAGTTGTCTCTTTTTTTCTCTTGATGAGTCTGGCTAACAGTCATCAATTTTGTTGATTTCACAAAGAACCAGCACCTGGCTTCATTGTTCTGTTGTATTTTTTTTTTAAGTTTTGACTTCATTTGCTTTTCTTCTAGTCTTCATGATTTCCTTCCTTCCAGCAGCTTTGGGTTTCATTGTTCTTGTTTTTCTAGGTATAAGGTTAGGTACTTTGAAACTTTTCTTACTTGTTCAGGTAGGCCTATATTCTATAATATTCCCTCTTAGAATAGCTTTTGGTGCATCCCAAAGATTTTTGAACCGTTGTGTTTTCATTTACATTTGTCTCCACGTATATTTTCATTTCTTCTTTGATTTCTTTGTTGACTCATTCATTGTTTAGTAGCATGTTAATTAATCTCCATGTATATGTTTTCTTTTTTTTTTTTTTAAGATTTTATTTATTTGACAGACCACAAGTAGGCAGAGAGGTAGGCGGGGGGTGGGTAAGCAGGC